GACCAGCCAGCCTCTTCCTCCTCCCAACATGCCTCCACACTTGCTACAATGTCTAACCCATGGTGATGGGATGGCACCTTAAACTATAAACTATAGTTTAATGATAAACTATAATCATTCCATTATTTCTGTCAAGTATTTGGCCCCAGAAACAAGGAAAGGAACTAACAGGGCAGCTGAATGGGTTGTGCTTGTCACTGCTGTTAAAATTTTATAGAGCAAAAGTTATTTAAACATGTCTCATCATGAAAATTTTATGAATACTGATAATTATGAAAACTGTAACACTGGTTAGTAGACATACAGTTTGCATTGAAGAATACCTTAATTTTATATTTTACCTTAATATCAGTGAATTCATCACATTGTCAATATTGAATCAAATAAATATGGAGATAGTTTAGGTCTAGAGAGAAAAATGATACAAACAACTTATCCAATAATTGAATGGCTTGTGAATAAATTACACAATCTTAATTTTATTTCTCCATATTCATATTTATATATTAGAATATTTTGTTCAAGATGAAAGAGTTAATTAAATGATGTGTTTATTAATGATGTAATATCAGAATAGTCAAGGATGTCAGTATAACTTTGTTTATTGATATCTGGATTATATAAGGAAAAACCTGGGCAGGGGTTGGGGGGTGGGAGGCAGTCCATCCTCTGGGATGGAGAGTTCAGGGTAGAGGGCAGGGTATGCCAGTCTGTAACATGTAGGGACTGGGGGATGTTGGGATATCCTGAATGCCAGGTCTGCTATATTATGTTAAATAGGCAACTCAGGAATTTGTCCCTGGTTTGAAACTTAACACTTAGTTATTGTGAAGGATACATTAAAATATGTGTGTACAGTACACATATAAATCCTCTATATATCCTTCATGGATGTTATAAAAAGTGGTGTATCTGGGTGGTATGGTAATTCTAATATAGTTTTTTTTTCTATTTTGCAAAACTTTCATGCTACTTTCCATGATGACTTAATCAGCAGTATGTAAGGATGATTCTCTTCCTACATTACTCTTTTCCATGAACTTTTGTTTGTTCTTTATTTTCTCGATGATAGTTATTTTTATTTGGATGAGAAAACAGTGTTAATTTGTATTGTCTGATTCCAACAATGTGAAAAAAACTTTTTCAACTATCAATCATTTGTACTTTTGGAGAATTGTCTATCTATGAGCACATTTATCATTCAGATGATTTGTTCTTCTTTTGTTGTTGTTTTTGTCTTTGTAATTTTTTGTTTTCTATATACTAATTCAAGATTTTATATGGAGCTTGTAGGAGTTTTTGCTTATTGTAGACTATCTTTTGACTTTAGTGTCTATTTTTTTTTTGAGTACAGAAGTTTAACTATATAGAATCCCATATGTCAATTCCTGGGATGATTTCTCATGCCACTTGGATCCCTTCTACAATCTCCCTACCTATGTCTATATCTTGAAGTGTTTTCCTGTAGCAGTTTTAAAGTTATGAGTCTAACAGTAAAGTCATTGATCTATTTTACTTGATTTTGTGCAGAATGAGGTGGGTGTAGTTTTCAAATTTTGTATGAGTGAAAATCCAGTACTGTCAAGAACATTTGTTAAAGAGGGTTTTTTTCTCCCATGCATGCTTTGACAGTCTTGTCAAAAATTAGATGACTATAACTATGGGGATTTATGGGTTCTTTATTCTATTCCAGAGGTTTATAGATCTCTTTCTTGTGTCAGTTCTAGACTGCCTTTTGTCACTGTGGCTCCATAATATAATTTGAGATCAGTTATTATGATCTAATTTATAATGTTGCCTTTTTCACATTCATAGGAAAATTGGTAGATTTCTTTTATAGCTTTTAATATTACTTGTTTTCTTTATATTTTAAGATCTTCAGTATACTGTGCCACGGGGGAGGATGTAGTGAGATTTCATTTTAGTCATGTCTAATTGGTGTTCTAAGTGCATCATATACTTGAAACTCAATTTCTTTCTCTAGATTGGGGACTATTTAGGAATTCCTTGAGATTCATTTTATGTCAGCTCCCTTTTTCTTAGATTCTTAGGTTTATCTCTTGTTTGTATTTCTGCATTATTGAATGTATGGGGCCATGTTCACCTTTTTTATTTTTGATATTTGAATGCAATATTTGTCAGCCTTGTCCTCAATCCATTATATTTTTACTTCTGTTTGAAGGAAACCACTGTGGTTTTTTGATTTAAATGAATTTATTGGTGTTGAAACTTCTCTATGTCCTTTCAAGCATCACTATTCTTTATGAATTTTTAAGTTGCTGACTTTTTATCCATATTGATTTGTTTTCATTCTGATTGATGATTTCTCCCTTCTTGATTCTGACTCTTCCCTAGGTTCTACATTAAATTCAGATTCTTATTTCTATCCCCTTTAAAATACATTGGTCATTTTTATCAGTTAGCTTTAGCAATCTTCTGGCATTTGATGTCTGAGAGTGTATTTGGGTTCAATAGTTGAGGAGTTATGATCTTTTGGTGAAGTTACATTGCTTTATTTTTATATGTCTTGGCTTCTGTGTTGAGGTTTTTGTATCTACTAGTTTGGGAGAAGTTCGCTGTAGCAGCAACAGTAGAAAATTCATACAAAACATAGAAATAAACTTAAATTTGGCTAGAGGCCATTGTATTTCTAATGATCATAAAAAGGCAACTGGCAAAATACCAAACATTATGTGATGGATTTAAAGCTTCTGCAGGGAATGAGCATGACATTGCAGACCTCTAATTCCTACAGAGGCAGGTGGAAGTCGGTGAGCTTGAGTCCAGGCTGGTTTACATAGTAAGTCTCAAACAAGCCAGAGCTATATAGTAAGACTCTTTCTCAATATAAAAATAAAATCTCTGTAAGACAAATGTGAAAAATGCTATATCAATGAGACAAAAGATTGGCTCGGGGTAAGAGGGAGAAGTGATAACAAAGTTACATGAAATTAAAACATAAAGGATTACTGGAAGTGTCTCAGTTTAAAGGATTTAAATGAAGGGGAAAAGATTTGTCAATTGTCAGGGTTAATTTCATTGTTTTCTCTGGCCCTGGTCAACAATGGTGGGAGGCCTTATCTTTACAAAACCTGCCTGAACCAAGCCTTCTGTTCTTACTTCCTTTGTCTTGACAATGTCTAGCCTTCCTGCTATTTGCAACTGCCTTCCTAGACTATTCCTTATCTCTGGCCAATAGCAGACCAAACTGAGGCTCCTGAACTTGTTCCTAGACCTTATGGCAGTTCATATTTTTTTAAAGTTTATTCAGTGATTCTTTTCAAATTCTTATTATGTTTTCTGTTTTTGAAAATAGATTTCTTTCGTCACAGAATATGTGTTGGTTATGGTTTCTCCTCCCTTTACTCTTTCCAGTTCCTCCCTAGCTCCCTTACCACCCAGAGTCATTCCCTTTCTGTTTCTCATTAGAAAACAAATGGTCTTCTAAGGGATATTAATAAATAAAATATAGTATAATAAAATTAAGCAAAGATAGCACATTAGAGTTGGAAAAGACAAAGAGAAGGAAAAGAGCCCAAGAGAAGAAATGAGAAGCAGAATCACTCATTTACACACTCAGAGATAACAAAAACAAAAGTTGTCCAGTTTTGATGTTCAGGTTTGGAACTGGTCTTACCATATATTCTTGTGCCATGTTCAGTTAAGCCCTGGAGGCTTGCTTTTTTTCTTGGGGGAAACTGCGAGGCAATCTGGGAAGAGGAAAGGTGAGTGTGTGGGCTGGGGATGAGGGGCTGGAAGAAATGAAGAGAAGGGAAGCTGTGGTCAGGTATGTATTACATGAGAGAAGAATAAATAAAAATTACAAGAAAAAGACCCCCAAAATAAAGAACCATTAAAGTGGAAGCCTAAAAATAGTTTTCCCTCTATGAGGAACCCTACCACTGCATGTGAATCACATTATTCCTCTCCAGTGTGGACTGTGTTTGAGGCTTTAGTGGGTCCTTTTCCTTTCTTGCCTCGCTTCTGTTTTGGGAGTTACCAAGTTACCAAGGAGCTGACCAGATGAAACAGTCTTTGGGGTATTCTGACCTCCTCTCCCATTGCACATGAATGTTTCTTACGACTCTTGCTTGCTACTTTGCTTGTTTTCTTTTACGTCAAATTCTTGCTCTGTATCCCAGGCTTGTCAGCCTGTCTTGAACTCATAGAAAACTCTCTTGCCTTGGTCTCCCTTAGTAGTTAAGTTACCAATGCTCATTTTGGGCTTACTAATCAGGGTGTTGCCCACCTTTTTTTTTTCTATGCTTTTTGGTCATTCTTTTACTTTGTTTGTGGATTTCTGAAGCCTTTGCTCTCTCCTATCTTCAGAACAAACCTCCCCTCTTTAAAAACATTGGCAGTCAGTATCATCAGAGGCAGCTTCCAGCCTGGTGACTGACTCAGAATACATTTATTTTTTGATACCTTTCCACATGTGTTAATTCTGATCCATAGAGGGTAGTTGACCATCCTGCAGTGCTTTTATGCTCTACAATCTAGACATTCCCAAATGTTACAAGTATACTTTCTTTTAGTTTCTACATGCAACATTTTCTACACTATTTGCAGTATAATTATAAATAACTTCTTTTTGCTCTCCAACAGCCACACATTTGAAAGATAAATTGTATGTCACCTTTTAATTTGGTTTACTTGCCCATATCTTCGGAGTATGGAATACTTTAAAAATAGTACTTTAATGCTCTGTTGCTGTGTAGTGGAAGTGATTCTTTTAAGAGTAGGTCAGAAATGATAATAATTTTTGATTATGAATGTGTGTACTATGACAATTAGACTGAATCATTATGCTCCAATTCTGCAGGATGATGTTGTTTTCTGTGAATGTGATATGGGATGAATCAATAAATCTATTTTATTATTAAAGAAAATTCACTTTTGTCTTATTTTCTCATATTAATAATGGACGAATAAGTTGACTTTTTCATTAATATTTAAAATTATTTTTAATAATGTTATTTTTTAATATAATTTTTCTATAGCATTGGACTCTGTGACCAAGGAACTTATGATTCAAACAGCAAAACCAACTTTTGGCCATCTGACAGAAGTAAGAAAACTGTTCATACTATAGTAAATGTCAGTTGCAGGAACTAGATGTTGATACTTATTTTTGGTGTTCCAATGGTTTGTATCTTCCCCACTAAAGTGATTGCAATGTGGCATATTCTTTAGGCAACATCATGATTAGAAATGTTAAAAGAATTATAGTGACTCATCCACCCATGTGTTTGGCTCTTACTGTGGTAAAATTTT